CGAATTTGATTAGCGTAAGGTCAATTTGTAACTGTCATCTTAAAAAATGTTCACAAAATAATGTTATTTTATATTTACCTATAACAAGGCAACTTTAATTAATTAATTTATTCATTTATTTATTCTTTATTCCACAAAAAAATTGTACAAATAGCGAGCTTAATACCGTATTGCATCAGAAAGCGTTTGAGGGCAGTGGTGGCGAAAATATATTTATGTTCCTTGTATTCTAATATGCTAGGCGAAATGTGGGGATGTGGACTGTTACATTGAGTATAATGCTGACCAGACGAGAAATGCTTTTACTACCCCATTATGGGTTATAGTCGTCACGACTAAAGAAATAAATAAATACGCTCACGACTAAGTCCTGAGCGTATTTACTTATTTATTACTTTATTTAATATTATTTTTTGTTATTATATGTCAACTACAAATGCGAATCACTATTATCTGCCCCTACTAGGATTTGTAGCTAAGAAGACAAAGGAAAGTAGCAGAGAAGACGAATTTATTAGAGCTTTTATATACGAAACATATCAGAGCTTTTAGGAAAAATAGCTAATGCGGTGGGTGACATTGTTTTAAAATGTAGTATCTAATACATTATTTACTGGAGACATTATAGTAGTGCGGCTATATCGAGAGGATGAGTGATAGACGATTATGTAAGTGGACCTAATGGGAGAGAATCGACTGAGAAAATCGGTAATTGATCTTACATTTATATACATTTTTTTTTCATGGGGAAATGTATCATGCAGGCCCAAACGTCCCGGGGGAGGCGTATGGGTACTGCCGGACTTCTACCAGCTAAAGCCATCACGGTATCCCTCGCCGCGCCATAATGTTGGGGACCCGGGTTTCCTTTCGTAGTCCACCGAGTCCCAACGGCGATGGCCCGCACCGGTTTGCGGGCCCCGACTCAAATTACATTTGTATAACTAGTCCAGCCATAACTTCTATTACAAATGAAAATGCATTTTTTTATAAAGTAATGTAATATTACTAAAATTTATACTTACATATTTATTAAAGTACTAATTTGTGTTCATCGACAGAGGAAGTGTTGTTGTATCTATTGATAGTACGATATACGGATATACGGCTGATAGCAAGCTTTTTAAGTATCTGAAATATAACTAACTGCTCCATACCCACTTTGTGCAAGGCGATCACTGCGATTCTATTTTCTTTAACAGCCCATTCCATATTGTAATTTGATAATAAACACGAAATCAAGAGAAGTTTTTTAAATAATAAACGTGTATCAAAATCAAAATAATTAAAAAGTTAAAAAAAAGTTTTTATGTAACAGTATTTATGGCCAGACTAGTTATAACTAATTGAGTTTCACAAAAATGCCATACAAAATGGGAAAACCAGTTAATTTAATTTAAAGATCAAACTGTTGAATCTGATTTGATTTTTTTATGGGACTAACCTGTAAGTGCAGGTACACTTTCAGATAAAAAGGAAAAAATAATCCAAAACGGTTTACAATTGTCAGAGTTATGAGGTAACAAACATAAAAAAAATTGCAACCGATTTAAGGACCACCTTTTTTGCTTGGGATATTTAAGAAGAAGACTAACTTGAATCTTGAAGTAAATAATAATATAACCACTTTGAAGATTTAGCATTCTTTTAAGAAATTGTAAGCTATAGATATTGAGCATTATTTTTTCTATAAAATTTGTGTTAATATACGACAAGAAACATACATACATATTAATCACGTTTGTTTTCTATTAGGGCAGGCAGACACTATGGAATGCCAAATGTTTCGATTTACGACAAGAAACTTTGGGTTTATAATACTCACATGATGCATCTAGTAGTCAAATTAGTACTGTGTTTTTTGTCAGACTGAAGTTTATTTTAGGTGTTTCCTTGTATACTATTTATTTATTTTATTATATTTAACCGATACCTTACTATGAAAATAAATAAAAGTGTAAGAATGTGATACTTGTAATATAATAAAACACGGACAGGTTACGAACCACGGAGGGTAAGGCAGTCGGGCTATGAAAAACTTTGTATAGAAAATAATTAGTGTAGACAACTCAAACCATGCTTATAGGATACCAATAATTTCTATTTCCCCTTTGTGTAGTACTGAAACCAAAGTTATATTAATGTTCGTAGGAGCAAATAACGTTCTGTGGTCTATATTAGCGTGGTAGTTCTCATGTGATTCATTATGCCACACAAGACTATAAGTTGGGTAGAGGTTGTGAATTTATTAAGCAAACCTGCAAAAAGTTTTCCTCCTGCAAACTTTGTATTGAGTGTACCTAGCGTGTACTTAGTACACAGTAGCTAAGTACATATAATAATATTAAGTAGAATTGATAAAATATTATATATTCAGTGTAGTAAAGTAGTGTCGTACTGACAGATTGGTAATGCAATGATAGAAGTGAAACCAAAAACAGTTACATTAGTATATATGTAATTTAACTAAATATAAACACGTGGTAGACCTGAAGATAAAAGAAAATGAAGGTAAAATTACAGTAAAATTTCTCATGTTTGTTATTAGTCTAGTTTCAATTTGCTCTCAGTGCTTCAATGCTTAATTCGTGAATTAAATATGATAATCTAATATATAAAATTCTCGTGTCGCGGTGTTTGTTACTAAACTCCTCCGAAACGGCTTTATCAATTGTTAGGAAATTTGTGTGCATATCGGGTAGGCCTAAGAATCGGCCAACATCTATTTTTCATACCCCTCAATGATAAGGGTTACCCACCTCTAAATATTATTATTTTATTTTTTTGTCAATTTTGCTTATTTTTATTTTATTATGATTTAGCATTGAAAAATAAATACAACCTCAAATTTTTACCCTTTCACCCCTTTTTTATCTTTGTTTTTTTAATCGCGATTTTTATATTTCGCAATAGGGTTGTAAGAAACAAACGAATATAATAAATGTAGTACGATGAATTTTCATATATAGTTCTAGAAATAATGTATATAGTAAAGTCTGCCGAGTCAGCTAGTGTTCCCTATAAATTTTTGTGAAAAACTATAATAGTTTTAAAATAATCAATAAAGAGACGAATTATTTAAGTATAACTTATGTGGAAAGTGTCTATAATTTTTGAATTCTCTTCCTAATTGATATGTTAAGGTGGAAAGTACGATAAGTTATATTCAAATAAAAAGATTTACGTATCAACTGCATGTATATTTTCATTTATAGAAGTGAAAATTTAAAATTATTTCTATTCAAATCTTTATTGAAATAAAAAGATTTATTAAAATAATATGTATTTACGACGAGGCAAAATTTTAAATATTTCTACTCTCCTAGAAAAAAAAAATATTCGAAGTTTTCGTGAGTATAAGTGTTAGAAAGAACGAGGCACTGGATGTTATTGTCTTGTTCTGCTACATGGTGGTGATTATATATCTATCAAAATACTTATTTAGGGGTGCAGGTATCGTACTGAGTCCTCAGGAATGGCAAAGCATGGGGGGTGTCATGGGTGAAACAGTATAAGAAAATTTATTAGTTTTCATTTAAACTCAAATATATTGTAAAATGCGAGAATAGTTAGCCTGTGTTTCATTTACATCGCCTGCCAAACCATTATATATCATTAGCTTGTACTTGAATGATCTATCTCGTTATAACATGTTTAAAACAATTTTTATTTCATTTTTTATATAAAACACTGTGAAATGTTTATATTATTGTTACGAAATACGGAACATGAATAGCGAATACATTTCATAAATTTAAAGCTAAGTAAAATAACGCCACTAATGTATGGCCTCATTTAATCCTCGACAGGTCAAAGGGTTTTAAGGACCCCTTAAATAAATGAAACGGTGTCCCTTTTTATTTATTTATGCATACATTGAGACATATTCTTGCGACGTTCTAAATACAATAAGTTTAAAAATGAATGTTTAAAATATATAATTTAAAGTAACACGTTTTATTTTTATGGTAAGTTTAATATCAGGCAGAGAGAATTCACAATTATCACGAAATTTGGAAATAGCTATACATATTTTATTTACAAAACAATGATTATACCCATTGTCTGATAGGCCGAGATACAGTTATATCAGGCAGATCAAAGAAAGCCTTGCTTGAAAGTTTAGTGTTGTTTGCATCAATAGGTTAAGAGATTCACCAAAAATTGTAGTGACAGGCAAGAGCTTCACTGACAAGAGTATAGCTCTTAAATACTCGTAAGAATGGATAGATATGATAATGTAATGTTGTTTATTAATGGATTGTTTCTACTTAATCCATGGCTTTGTATGAATTGGGACAAATGTATCAAATATTTAAATAAATAAAAAATGATGTAGCCCAGCTTTACATGGGTAGATAAATTTTTCAAAAATAAATATCTACTATATATTACTTGTCGGTAATGTTGTTTTCTATAAATGAAACAGTTTTTAAAATTGATTTTTTGAGTGTGTCCATTATTGTTTATAATGATATGCAAACAATCAAATCTTTCCTTCTTATTTATTTATTTATAAATTGATTACCACACTTACGGTATTCCAAAACGTGTAGTGAGCCATAAGTTTATTTTACAAATTTAAAAATTTATTATATTGTTAACTTATTGTATTATTTATTATATTATAGTAGGTATAGGTTTATCTGTAAGTAATTTAGTTTAATTGTTTATGTACAACAACTTTAAATTTTTTCACTGCTTAATTACATTTCTGTTTTGCCAAAGTTTGACTGGGAGAGAATGCTATCTAGTATTAAGTCCGTCTTTTGTACTAGTAATTTTTTTTTATAATGTGGTCAATAAAAATAAATAAATAAATAAAATAGATGATCATAATAATAATATGATCTAGACTTATGCACCAAATTTAATACAAATTCGTTCAGCCGTCTAAACGTGAATGAGTAATAAACATCCGAATATCTTAATATTAAAACGACTTTACTAAATTCCACATTTATAAATAAAGATATATTGTTTCACTTTCAGACACTGATTTGGTGGTTAGAAGATATGGTACGATTCTGTAAACCTATTAGCTTGTTGCTTTTGACCATAACTTTATGGACCCTGATCACTGCGAATGGATTGGAAATATGTGTCAAACGAGTCACTTTAGCCCGAGCCGAGCAAATTGATGAGAACGGCCGTAGATGCTGGGATAGAGTCAAGGTTCATTCCTGTGGTGGGAGATGTGACTCTAGAGAAGTAAGTAGAAATAAAAGGGTTTCTTTTCGCAAGAACCCTATTTGTACAATATTACGAGTATAAATATGAAAATTTGTGAAGATGTTTGGATATTTAGATGTTTATGTATTTGTTACTCAGTCATACTTAAACAGCTGCAGGAATTGATATACGGGTAGGTTATATTCTATTATATATATGGTATTGTATATATTGATTCACGCGGGATTAATTTATGTGAATCTAGAAGTGATTATCTATTTTAAAAATTCTCGCGTCTCGAATGAAATTACGCCCAGTATTAATATTTAAAATATAGAAAGGGTATTTTATTATAAAGGCAAACAAGCTGACGGCCCACTTGATGGAAAGTAGTGACCGTCGTCTATAGACATGAGCAATACTTCATAGAATGTACTATGATGCCCACGTTATCCTTGATACATTACTATTCCTGAGGACTATAGCGTTATGTCTCTGTTTCTTATAATTTCATTGTCATATCCTGCTCTTCAAATCGAAAAAATAGCAATGCAAGCACAGTTGCTTCACAATAGAATAAGTGAGGTAGTGAGTACTATGCAGACGACTTTTGTACAAAGTCGCACTCTAGGTTCGTATATAATGCATTGAGTCTCAAAAACAGGTCAACATTTTGTTAGCTAATTGTCAAATTGGCTGACTCGTTTTTTTATCAGTGTTCTATACACTTACATACACAATGTATCTTGGCGTATCTATATTTAACTACTTAATAAACAAAATGCGTTTTTAAGCATTAAAAAATGCAAAAATTATAAAAGAAAATAATATATATTTTATTATTTATAAAAGAAAATAATATATAATATAGAAGTTATTAAGGAAACACTTATAACTATTTGTTACGCAAAACTGTATGAAAAAGTTGATCTATTTTTTTCGAAGTATTTGTATGGAGACCATCTATATAATCTAAGACCATATTGTATCAGCCGTTAACCGTCCACTGCTGAACACAGGCCTACCCCATAAAGGGGAGTTTTGCCAGTAGTTGCAACGGTTTACGATGTTTTAAAAGGGACGCTGCTCCTTTAGTCGCATCTTACGTCACCCACAGGAAAAGAAGGGGTGGCCTATACCGGGACTTACACAGTACTATATTTATATTTGCACATTACGAGATATTGAGAGTAAGAGATGTAAGCCTTTTTGTTGCACTATTGGGTACGACTCCAATCTTTACTAATATTATAAATGTGAAAGTGAGTTTGTTTGTTACTCCCCTGGCGCTTTAAGGGCTCAATCAATTGTTATTGAATGTGGCATACACATTTACTATTTTACGTATTTTATTGGGCGAAGGAACCACCTCAATAAAATACGTGTTTCATTTGTTTCATTCAATATACCTAATAATACTTCGATTAGCCTGTATGCAAAAATATCGAGTTATTCAGCAAGCTATAGAGAGAGCTATCCTAGGATTTTTTTTGCGTGATGGAATTCGAAATGACGATGTCCGCAGAAGAACCAAAGTGATCGATATAGAGCGCAGGTTAAACAAGCTGAAGTGACAATGGGCTGGTTACATAGTTCAAGGCGACTCAGTATGAGCAAACGCAATATAGGATCACCCCCTACGAGATGGAGTGACAACCTCAAATGCATTACAGGAAGTAAGTGGATGTAGGTGGTTTAGAACCGTACCTTATGGCAGTTTCTGGGGGAGGTCTATGTTTAGCAGTGGATAAATACGGATGATATATTATGTGTATACAACATGGAAAGTACATATTAATAATTAAATTTGTGCGGAAGTACCTTCAAATAAAATAATTTTAGCCTAAATTTGTTAGAAATTCATATGTGAGTACAAATATAAGTATGCCTACTGATTTAACAACGTAACTGATCTGAAACTATTTCAAACCCAATTATTTATTTATCATAATGACACCTACTCGAACTGAGGTAAATATCGTTATTTATTTATGAAAATCTCGTTTAACTTTTCACACGTGTCCAAATAGTAAATTAATACAAAGTAATATTACAATATTCATGTTGGGATTTTGGTTTATGTGGGTGTGATTTATGTAGATTTGGGATTTTGATTACGTTTACAGTTCTTCAATACAAGCAAGATTTGTCAACCTAGTCTTATTGAGTCTAGGTATATCCAAGATACAATGTAGAACCATGATGCCTGTCTCGCATTAAGGTAGGCAGAAATAATAAGACACTATACTATATAGGCTTCTCTTTAGCAACTCTTACATTAATCAACCCATTTATATAGGAGAGAAGAAGCCTATGACAAGTAGGATAATATTAGTTTTAATATAATGGAATAGTCACCTCACCTGTGCTAACGGTATACGCTGGCAGGGTACTAGTGTGGGTGATAGGTGAGGATGAAATGGCAGGTCAGTTAGCACATCGTGATGACACTTGGAACTGAACGTGATAGATTCCAGCAGAAACCGCAAGGAGATCGATCCGACATTACATACAGGATGTATTGCTAGCAATGAGGAGGTAATTAATCACTATTACTTATAATAACTTTTCTCCTATTAGTTATAAAATTATATTCACATTAAAAAATATGTATGTATAAATATATAGATGTAATATTTAAGATTAAGAAATATTTTATACGTTACATATACCTAAACAAACATACGTCAAACATTGAATTTGAATGTGCGAGTGTTTTTTATTATCTAATATTCTTTTACTCTTGACAGAATTTTTGTTTATTCTATGAAAGTTAAGTACGTAAAGCAAGATTGATAGTATCTTCTGAAAAAAAAACAACAGATAACAAGTTTAACAGAACATTATTTCATAAAAAGTAATAAAAAGTTACCTGAAATCCAACTTGGGCACAACACACCTCTTTTTAGGGGTTCTTTCTAAATTAGAAAATCCAATAAGTAGATAGAATTTTATATTTCCTTCTTAAGAGAAATGAGGTATGTTTACGACTGTAGTTACAGATAACTCAGAAGTAGTTGATTGTTTTCGTTGTCAATTTAACAATATCAATTTGCTCTCAACTTGAATATTGGCCCACATTTTATAAGGTAATCTAAGATGCAAAAGAATCGAATTTGAACCCATCAAATCGAAGACATATCAAATAGACGTCAAATGAACGTAATTTAGTCTTACATTTGACGTCTAATCGATATGATTTCAGTTCTAGGACAATTCAATTGCGTCAAAAGCCACTCCGTAGGGCGCGAGCTTGCCGCCGTATCACGGATTAATTAAATCTGAGATGTGCCAGTTACTAGAAATGTCTGTGGAACATTGAATTGTGATTTTTGAACCCTAACCTAGGAATTTTGGTAATTAATTACAGGAATATGAGTACGTCCTTGGAATTGCGTTGATTTTTTAATTATTTTATATATTTTTTTACCAACTCAGAATATGATCAAAAAGCAGATTTTTTTTATAAACTTCATTTATATCATAAATTTAAAAAAAGAGATTTTGAATTTGTCTATATATTTTGCGAAGGTGTTTATTACAAAATATTTTCGCTGATTTTAAAGAGTTTTAAGAATGAAATTTTGAATTTAATAGGGTTTATCTACTATAGTTTATATCTTATATAAATTGTGTCACAAACTGAAACATTTTATTTTGCGGAATAACTTTTTTTATGAATTTTTTCTTAGCTTAGCTAATATGATAAAATATAATAAAAGAAAAAAATCACAGTAACTGAACGAAGGAAATCATTGAAAAGTTACTAATATTAAGTAGGTGTGAAATGATATGTAATAAAAAAATTAATAAGTCAGGTAACAAGGCCGGATAAAGGGTACGAAATAATTAATATAAGGTGCGTAGTCTTTTAAAATTAAATGAAAACATCTCGAGATAATTTTGGAATTGTCGTGACAGTGCAAAGTATAATGGAATGGTAATATAAAATCGATGATTAAATTTAAAAGATATTTTTTAGATCTATTATAATATAGATATTACAGCAATTCTGTAAATTTTTTGTTGAAAAAGAAATTAAATATTACTACATTTATTCTTAGTGTCGTAAACTGTTTATTTTAGTTTTAGAAATAACAATAAAGTGTATTTAGGTATATTTTGCTTCATTGACTCTATTTAGTCAATCTTAATAGTTTTCTTACGTTTAAGGTGTATATTCTTTGTAAGACTTAGGTATGTTTAAATATATATGTAGGTATATTCAATTGTTAATCAAACTAATACCTGTTCTATAAATTCTGTACTGAACCTGTTGCATAAGACCTGACATACACTTGCTATTTTCTAATGGAGTTCTTTACCATCGTTTTATATTACGGGGAACAAGTTTATGGATAAATTATATCTATCTGCACCGTTAGTCGTTGAAGACTAAAAATATTTATTCGATATTTAGTAATTGATTTAATATTTGAAAATGCGGTTATAAAATATTGTAAGTATTGGGTTATATTTCAAGCTTTATGTAAGAAGTACTTCTTATTAATTAAATTTATAAAGTTATACAAAACTTTTCGATTAATTAAAATGTTTCGTTGATATAACATTAGAAAAACATTTTGCATAAGATTGTAAATTAAATTTACAATTTCATTCTAAACATAATAATAATATATATATATATATACGCTGTCTTTTTGGGACGGAGAGAAACAATGGAAGGTTTAGTTTTCCGTTTTAAATAGAACTTTTTGGCTGCCTCCACATTCATCAATCTGTTCAAACAAGCTTGACGGTTACGAGTACATTTAACACAACCCTTTTTCAGCATGTAATTTTATTTGGACAATGTACGTCCATCTTAGAGCGATCCTTATCGACATATTCACTCATTCTCGCTCGAAATAGTATCTCCTTTGTATTTATTTTTATCTGTCAAAATAATGTGAAAGATAGTGACAGACTCATCCTATTTACATATGCACATTGAAATGTGGACACGCTGAACGTTACGTTCACCATAGCTACAATAGTTGAGAAATACCTCTGATTACTTCATCAGGGATTATACTTATTTATAACCGTATTTCATATTGCTGTGTGGTTCCGGCATAGAAAGGACCACCCCTTTTTTCCCGTGGGTGTCGTAAGAGGCGACAAAAGATAAAAGAGGCGTAGTGCCCGCCTGCCGTTAAAATATCGTTAAAAGCCTAATTGCGGTTGCCATTTCGTACGCCAAGCGTGGCCACTACTGGCAAAACCCCCCTTATGAAGATACCTATGTTCAGCAGTAGACAGTTATGGATGATATGATGATGATATTTTATATGTCTATTTGTAACTTTTGCTTACAAAAATTTTGACTCATTAAATCTAAACCGACCACAAAGTTAGACCTTTAATGATGATTAACATCTACTATATAAATTTATACTGTTTTTTTTATTAAGTCGAATTTGTTTTATGGCATTTATATTTTTTGGCTGTGTAGATTTCAGATTGGGAGTTTCCGTTCAAGAAATCACATCACCCAGTGTGCGTTTATGGGACTCGGCGATCAGTTATGGTGCGTTTGCGCAACTGTGATCCAGACGTTGTTCCTGGCACGGAACATTTTCATTACATAGCTGCAGACGACTGCCGGTGCAAAGTAAGTTCATTTTTGTAAGCAAAAAATACTTGTATATTTTCACAGGTTTTACACAAAGACGTTGCTTGTAAGATAAAATCCAAATTGATGAAGTGCCTACAATCTACAATATCATAATTCAAAGTTGTTTTGAAATCTTTCTTATATCTGTGCTTCTAGGGTGTTGTTTGAAGGAACTCGTAAATCTAATTTCATAAAACCATAAAACTAATCCTACAAAATTTTAAGTTTGAAGATCTATTATTTAATCACGATTAAATATCTTAACGAGTTCGAATATCTAGCAAACAGAAAGATTATAATCTTAAATTAACATGTTTAAATTCACCCAACCAAAGTAGCTTAAGCTAGTTAATTAAAAGTGTATGGAATTTTTTTTTTATGAATATAACTTTTTGACTTCTACTCTCGTTTGACCATATTTTTATATTTCAGGTATGCTCCTCCCAACATACGAGTTGTGAATGGTTGCCCCCAAATTCTACTCTTCTCCAAGGCATAAATGACAATATGCGCGACAATGATATTGATTATAATATTTAAAGTATCTTATTGCTATTTTGAAAATGTTTATGGTTTGAAAATGATAATATTGTCAATATAATTAATTTCTTGATTAACTTTTAAGATAATACTCTACATAATATTGCCTTCCTTAAAAGTTGTTTATTTATCTTTTATGGCAAAAGATAGATAATTTATAGAAATATATATTATATAAAGGGATCAATACCAAATCTTGATTCCTCATGGATCCTTCCTCCATCCTTATAAGAGTTCCTCTCATTTCGACTTTTTTAATTTAGTCGAATAAATATAATTCACCGTGGGTAAGAAGTGAGTGAAAAAGTGATGTCTTTCGTTTACATATCCAGTTCCTAATTCTATGTGTGTACGTATATGAAGGCTTTCCAACCTATAGTGTTTGTTGCGAATAATTTAGATTGAAGTAATTAATAGAGTGAGCAGTGTTAGGTTTATAAACGTTCAAAATTACTTGTCAAGTTTGAATTATCTGCTGAATAAGCAACTGTCTTCATTTCAAATCAAGTTAACGATACGATAAATCACTTGCTGGAAATTTTATGACAAACTTTTTATTTATTTAGGGAAGCCCTGGGCGGTTAATGCTGTTAGTTATAGTTAGTTTCGAACCGTTAGTTTAACGTATTCAATTTAACTATAGATTTATACTTTTAATAAAACATTACAATAATTAAAATTTTGCATGTCGTATTATATTCCTATTACACTTTTATATTTTTTTTTTTACAACACAGGGGGCAAACGAGCATGCGGCTCACCTGATGGTAAGTGACTACCGCCGCCCATGGTCACCCACAACACCTACGGCATTGCAGGTGTGCTGCCGGCCTTTTAAACAGGAATATGCTCTTTTCTTGAAGGTTATGTTGTCGTATCGGTTCGGAAATACTGCTGCTGGAAGTTGATTCCAAAGAGTGGTTGTGCGTGGGAGAAAGTGCCTTGAAAAACGCACGGTGGAGGACCGCCACTTGTCCAGATGGTTGGGATGAAATTTTTGTTTATGGCGGGTTGTACGATGGTGAAAATCTGCAGCAGGTATCAATCCGAACAATTCTTCAGAGCACTCCCCATGATAAATAACTTTTGAACGTTCAAGTATCTTTACAAACTTTCATTTTTATCAATTTATATTGGTAGGATTTAGACTAAATAGTAGGTCAGGTTGCAGTATACACACAAACAAAATATATTCATAGGAGTCGAAATGGGTATATGGTGTAAATGAATGTATTTCATATGAAAAAGTTTGAACTAAATTACCAACTACTTAACCTTTAGATATGGGTTAACTGAATCGGTTTGGAGGATTTAGAAAGTCCTAAAGGGATTTTATGGGATTCGATGTTAATGTAAAAAGTTCAGTATGACTAAATATGAACTTTTTATATTATAGTTATGTAATATACAGGTTGAAAAATGTTGATAAATAAATTTATTGAGAAGTGAAAACGTCTGAAGTTAATCATTATCACTATCATCATCACTACATAGTATAAAACAAAGTCGCTTTCTGTCCCTATGTCCCTATGTATGCTTAAATCTTTAAAACTACGCAACGGATTTTGAGACGGTTTTTTTAATAGGTAGAGGTAGGTGATTCAAGAGGAAGGTTTATATACATATAAACCTTACCTTACCTTGCTTTATCTTACATGCATAATATTGTAGATAAACACTGATAAAAGAGGTTTCTAATGTGATGTCGTAAATAAACATATTTTTTGTGCTTACATTGCAAATGCTGGCTGAACTCCACGAGATAAATTAAAATAATGTACTGTAGTATTGTACATCTCAAAAAAGTCCGCGATGGTATATATCTATCTCTTAAGGATAATCCACAATAACCATTTTTTGTCCTTTACATTTTACGGGGAAAAATGACTTATTTTCGAAGTGACATATTCATGTTAAAAATGTTTATTTCATTATTTTGATTAGAAAATAATGAAATAAGTATTTTTGTAATGCAATTTATTTCAAGAACATGAGTTGTTGTAATAAGAAAATGTTATATGCAGCTTTATACGGCACTTTATCCGATAGAAAATGAGAACGCATAATAGAATATAATTTTATTTATCTTTACATAGACAAAGGCAGGGCATAAACGAGTATTAATATATTGCTGCGAATGCAAAAGTTGAGCTGTAGACTCCGTGGTGAGCAAATAAGATAAATTTGTAACCTGTTTGAGTAAGTTTGACCTGTGGAATATTAACACAGTTGAGCTTATTAACTTAAATAAAACTAACGATAGTAGTCAGATATCTGTTACCACTTATTATATTTAAGTTTATACTTATTATGCCAATTGTAGGTATTATTTATACTGTGATGATTCTTACTAAATGCATACTCATATCACCTTTTTTATCATCAACTGTTTTGTCTCTTTCTTTAACACAAAATTCCCATTTTGAAAGAAATTGACATAACAGTGTAATTGTTAAAAGTAGATTTGTAGGTTTTAATTTTCACGAATAAATGGAATAATCTATACTAATATAATAAAGGAGAAGAGTTTGTTTAATTGAATGCGTTAATATCTGGAATTTACTTAGTCGGATTAAAAAAAATTGCATTTGACAGCTCATTTCTTGAAGATAGGCAGGCTTTTCAATATCATGAAATGACCATGAAACTGCGGGGTATAGCTAAATAAACAAATTTGTGGATATCCGTGGGATTATATTTAGAATGATTGGGACATATTGACTGGCAGGCTGTATCTTTTTCGATACCAAATACTACGCCTGTGTCAAATTTTATGTCGATTAATTGAGTTGTTAAGGCGACATGACAAAAAAATATAAAAATAATAAATAAATGCTCATATTTGACAAATATTGTAAATATGAATATTTTTAGAAGTTAGGGTGAAAATAAAATTATAATTCCGCCTGCGGTATATGTGTACGCTGGCGGAGTAATAATAAATGATGATAGTTTATGAATTCAGGTAAATTAGTCCATAGTGACGAATTTACTAGGAATTAACGCCCTGATAGAGCGTACTTCTCATAATGAGGAAGTTTGAAAGGATTATTCAATTACGCATAAGCGGCTGAAAAGTTTAAATTAAAATTATTTAACATATAGAATATGTTTATTCAAACTAATGTCGTTAAAGTTTTTTTTTTTTTAATATACTTAGAATGATAAATAAACTGCTAACTCATTTAAAAAAAGTCATTTGCACCATAATTGTTGTCTATAGACATGAATAGCTTTATGGATATCATCGACTACTGTGATGTCCATAGTATCCCTCATGTGATGATATTTGTAAGAACTATAGTGCTATGCTTTCGAACTCTATAATTTCATTGCCATGTCCCCCCCCCTCCCCTCAAACCATCATACAGCTATGCAAGCACAGGTTCCTTCGCGGGAGAAACGAATGGGACAAACCTCTATCTCACATCTGTTCCTGGAAATTTATCCGTGCAATCACCTGATTTATAAAACATCACCAAAGTCTAACTGCGGTAGTCAATGTGCCTGCTAAGCATGGCAACTTTTGGCAAAAACCTCCAATAGGGAGAAGCCTATGTTCAGGCGATAATTAAAATTTCAGTATTAAATTAGTGATTTAGCCCACTACTATTCCCCTGAAGCCTAAATTCTCTAGAGACAGAGAGAGATACTGTATCCAAATTGACCTTTACGAGTCTGCATTAATGTATATTTTTTCTAAATTAGTGAGTACTAAAACATTCAATTTCAAAAATATTGTCTTTAATTTTAATTTTTAAATCCAATTATGAATTAACATTGAAGAGAAAACCTTTTAAAATGTAAGAATTAATTATCACCTCCAAGTTTTGGGAAAATTAATATGTAAGGTTCGTATCCTTTTAATTATTATTATTCTTTATAGAATACTTTACTGATTTAATGCACTTAAGCAATTTTTCACAGGATATTTAGATCGTGATGTTTTATTTGTTTATCAATAGTAAAAATAATTAGGACTGAAAACTTCATATCTTGCAAAAAAAGTTATCACATTAATAAAAAATAGAACTATCTCATTATCTAGAAATATGGTATGTGATACGTGGACGAACAAAGGCTGAAAGAATGATGTGATCTAGATATGTAATAACTGAGAGAGCTTTCTGATAATATACGGTAACAGAATATTGAATTTTATTCTATTGAATTTTACAATTGTACTAGTAAACGCTATTAATAAATTTAATATTATGTTTGTTCCTAAATTACGCTAAATGGCTAACTGGATTTGAAAGAGATTAGGATACGAGTAGATTATATTCTGATTTAATACATATGATACTTTGAATATTGATTCGTGCGGGCAAAGGTGCGGGAAAAAGCTAGATTCTTAAAAAGTTGCCTTACTAAATAAGATTGTAATGTTAGAACTTAATGGTATATACCAAAATAACTACATAAATGAACTATAGGAAAATAATTTGAAGTGTCAAAGTACTATCGGTGGATCTGACCAGGGGTAAGTAAAAAGTAATCCATTCTTCATTAACCCACTAATGAATGCCTTGCCTAAGTTGGGGCGTAGGTGTTCGTGACTGTTAGAGATCGTGATAGTGTCAAAAACATTAGGTGCCAGAATATTGTAATGGAAACGTTACTCGACAGTATTAAGGCGATACTGTGTACGCAATATGTGGTCGTTAGATAGAATTTTGGTAAAATGAAGTGACGACCTCAAATATATTGCAGGGAGTTAGTGGATGCAGGTGTCTCAGGACCGTTCCTTATGGCCAGTCTATGGGGGAGGCCTATGCTTAGCAGTGGACGGATAATGGCTGAAATGATGATGATGCTTGGTAAAATTACTATAGGTTTTGAAATTAAATTCAGCCACATTAATGCCACATAACAATAAACAATAGTGTAGGTACTGTAAGTTTCTAGATTATATATAAAACTATAGATTGTTCTGAGTAAAGTTCTGCAGCTCAATTTGCGTCCATATTCTACGCCGATCAATGAAATTCAAGTTGTTAATTTATCTATACTAATATATGAAGTGGAAGTGTTACTTTGTTTTAACGCGCTAATCTGGTATTATCAATTGGAGTTGGG